CCTTCTCCCCCACGTCTCCTTTCACACCCTGCGGAGGGACCACATTAGAGCAGGGAAGGAGCAGCTGGGGCAGTAAAAACGTCCACCAGGAATTCTGCCTGCACTTTCCGTGGCCAGCGAGAGCAGGATCTGGCCCTCGCTCTCCTTAACTTGTGCCCTACGACACACAGTTTCACTCTGCGATACTCACGGGTGGTCCGGGCTCCCCCGGGGCCCCGGGATCTCCTGCTTCACCCGGCTCACCCTGGGTGAGAGAAAAGCAATGGGGCAGATGCTGCCAGGTTGGCGTGGGCAGCTCTGCCCAGCCCCAGCACTCAGACTGAGACCCCCACTGCCCTCCCAAACGTGGGTTTACCTTTTCTCCCACGGCACCCGGTTGTCCCACGCCGCCCGGCATTCCCTGGGGGCCCTTAAAGGCAAGAAGATGGGGGGTACCCACGTTGGGGACAGCCCTGGCATCCAGCAGCCCCCACTGAGCCCCCCAGGGCTGTACTCACCTCGGCACCGCTGGGTCCCTGTGGCCCACGGGGTCCCGGTGCACCGGGGGGGCCCTGTAGGGAGTACAAAAGCGGGGGGTCAGACTGCAAAAGGTGGCTGAGCCGTGCAGCTCCCACAGGAGAGGGAGATGTGGGAAGCTGGAGACGGGGCAGAAGGAGGTGGAGGGGGAGCGGTGGGTGCGTAGAACGAGATGGCCGCGGGGTTTCCTTACCATGGGGCCAACATCTCCGTTCTCGCCCTTCTCGCCCGGTGGGCCCGGCATGCCCTGCGGGGAGCACGGGTTAGCCCGGCGGGGTCTGGAAGCCCCTCGGGCAAGGCAGAGGGTGTCCTGGCCCAGGCAGGCTGCGCAGAGCCTGGAGTCGTGTGTCCCTTGTCCCTCCTGTCCCGGCAGACCCAAGGCTGCCCCACTCCGCTCCTTACCTGCAGGCCAGGGGGGCCGCTTAGGCCAAGGTGACCCCGTGATCCCTCATCTCCTTTCTGCCCAAACATTCCCTGCTGCCCACGGCGCCCCGGCTCCCCGTCTGCTCCCTAACAAAGGGAGAGGTTGGGGTCAGCACCGCCTGCCCCACAGAAACCCCAACGTGTGGGGTGGAAGGGCAGGGAAGGGAGCCAAGAGGGGAGGTGGGGTTCAGTCGAGGGAATAAATGTGGTGGGAAGGGTGCTTGGCAGCTACTCACCGCGGGGCCAGGGTGCCCGATGGGTCCCTGGATTCCTGTCGGTCCCGGGGGGCCCTGTGGGACAGGAGCACCCACCTAAGGTTAGGGCAGCCCCCAAATGTCTCCCGCCTCGCTGCTGCCATCTCCCCCCTGCTCCTGGAGCTGCTCTACCCCTCGGAGAACTCCCCACCCCAGGCAGAGCAGCCCCTCGGCACTCACCGCCTCGCCCTTGTCGCCTTTGCTGCCCTTCTGTCCGGGAAGCCCCATCTCGCCCTGTCGCAAAGAGAAGACGGTGACAGCCCACGGCCAGCAAAAGACGGGGGGGCGGTGGCCGGCAGGGGAAAGCTGCCAGGGCTGGGGAGCCACGGCCAAGGAAATCCCAGCACTGGGGAAACCTGCCACCACCTGGGAAGCAGTGCCAAGGAAGCGTGCCAGGGCCAACAGCCCGCTGCCGCCCGGGGAATCCCCACTTCTGGGAAGCCATAGGGAAAACCGGCCCCCTCCCAGAGGTCCCCCAGCCCTGGGACATGCCCTGTGTGAGGGGACTTGTCCCCAGTGCCCATCCTGGGGTATGTTCCCTGCGCTGTCAGTAGCGAAGTGCGAAGGAGCCACTGCTGGAGATGCTGACTTGCATCCCCCTGACTTACCTTGTCCCCGTCTTCTCCCGCAGGGCCGGGGGGTCCGCCTGGACCTGGCAGCCCCACGGGACCCTGGATCCCATCGTGCCCGGCTGGACCCATGGGACCCCTCTCGCCCTGCAAGGCAGGAAGGGGAAGGGCTGAAAGCAGGACTGGCCGGAACCCACGGGAGACACAGCTTGTCCCAGCGCTGCCCCACACCTCCTGCGTCACCCCACACACCCTCTCGCACCTACCGGGGAGCCCTTCTCGCCAACGGGACCGGGGGGGCCCTGTGCACCCCCCCGACCCGGCAGTCCAATGCCTCCAGCAGCCCCTGTGGGGCCTCGCTCTCCGGGAGAACCCTGGGGAGAAGAGAGAGGTGGGGTGGAGGGAAGAAGACCCCGGCAGTCTTCCTCCTCTCCAAAGAAACCTTTCTCTTTATCAACTAGAATTTTAAGCAGGATGGCAAAATCACTCCCCAAAGAGTACATATGTTCCAAGGGAAACCCCAAAACTGCAGATAACTCCTCAAACGTCATGATGCTTTGTACTCACTGTGGGTCCAGGGGGACCAGGGGGACCTTCCCCACCCTTCAAGCCAGGTGGACCCTGAAGGAGGGCAGGGAAGATGGTTAAAAAGGACCCTACTCCCTTTTTCCGAGGACCGTAACAGGCTATGTCCAAGCCTGGGACAGCACTGACCATCTCTCCAGGTGCCCCCCGTGTGCCAGGAAAGCCAGGGATGCCTGGGGGGCCGTTCTTACCGGGGCTGCCAGCGGGGCCAGGGTCTCCCTACAAGGTAGAGAGGAGTAGCAGAGAGCTTTGCTCTGTCCCCACCAAGCTGGGGAGAGCCCTCGTGCCCTGCAGAGCTCAGAAGGGACCCAGCCCCGCTTGGCTCAGGTTTGTGGTGGTCCAGGTGAGTGCTCGGACCCCCGGAGCGGCTCCTACCTTGGCTCCTTCTCGGCCAGCAGCTCCGGGCAGGCCCTGTTCCCCAGGAGGACCGGGGGGGCCTGGGTGCCCCCTCTCTCCCACAGGTCCCGTCTCGCCTGATTTACCCTGTGGGGAGAAAGCAGGGTGAGCATCGGGGGGTCCCTCTCCCCCCCACTGGACTGGCTTCAACGCAAACACCTCCTGCCTCCATCCCCAGCACTCACCTGGGGTCCCACCACCCCTGTGGGGCCGGGGGGGCCGGTTTTTCCATGAAACCCCTGCAAAGGAGAGAGGGAGTTAACGCTGGGTATTGCCAAACATCCCCCCCCGCCCCGGCAAGCGAGGCAGAGGACCCACCGGCTCGCCGGACCAGCC